AGGGGGATAGAGAGGGGAAGGCAGAGGATGGGGAGGAAGGGGGATAGAGAGGGGAAGGCAGAGGATGGGGAGGAAGGGGGATAGAGAGGGGAAGGCAGAGTATGGGGAGGAAGGGTGATAGAGGGGGAAGGAAGGAAAGGACGGATTAAGTGGATGACAGTCACAGACCAAGCCCTGTATAAAGTTTGTAGTTTATTTGGCTGACTCAGATGCTTTCGGGAACCCTTAGGTCCTTCCATCCCATTATATTGTGTAAAGCCCGAGGGAGGGAGGGAGGGAGGGGTCAGAGGGATGGGAGGGGTCACAAAGCATCTTTAATACCTCGAGTTACCCAATAGAAGGGACCGCTGATACCAGAGATGTTCTGTGCAGAGCTTTGGCTCACATGGTAGACCCGGGAATACTTTTCTTGCCCCGTTTGAAAGGTTTGTGGGAATTCAGTATATGAAGTGTGAATCTTAATGACAGGTCCTCTTTGACCGGTATAATTGACCAGTGACGGCCATCTTGCTTCTGTCTGCCAACAGGTGCTGCATCCCCAATGTTTTTGGGACTTTCTGGTGAGAGACTCTGGGGAAGAGCTGCCGAGCGATGACAAGGAACATACAGCTGATACCTGTAAATGATTTTGTATAATATGTGATTTTGACTTCCAAATAAAACAAATACCTGGATCAGCTCCATCCAATCACAGCGTTGCAGTTATTGATGACATCTTAAAGGTGAACGCTCGTTCTGTGCGAAGACATGCAAAAACGAACGTTCTTAGATAGATTTTCTTTTCGGGTTGAACGTATGTCATGTAATACGGCATGGTGGCCACTAGATGGAGCTGAGGAGCACGGTGCCATGTGCTGCAGGTGCCACCAGTGCAGCCTATAGTGACTGATACCCAAAGCAAGACTGAGATGGCGCAGGCAATTCCGTGGGCGGCCATTGACCCAGGGGGCTCCCAGCTTTGACTTTAGACCCCGAGAGTCGCCCTCAGACAAGGTAAGGGGGCAAATATCACTCTGTTTATAGCTGAAGGATGAGGCACAAAGATCCACACAGATCTAAAACATTCACATTCATGAAGACGTCCAATCACAACGTCCAATCACAACCGGTTCTCTTTCAAGCTCATCTCTGCCTGAAGCTTTCAGTTTTGGGGGAGTGCTGTAGGGTTTCATCACCCATTGGGTTGTTATTGCCCCCCATGACCTGCAGACTCGCTTCCTATGCTTAGGTGGCAATTGCCCCCCATGACATGCAGACCCCCTTCCTAGGCTTAGGGCGTTATTGCCCCCCATGACCTGCAGACCCCCTTCCTAGGCTTAGGTGGTTATTGCCCCCCATGACATGCAGACCCCCTTCCTAGGCTTAGGTGGTTATTGCCCCCCATGACATGCTGACCCCCTTCTTAGGCTTAGGTGGCTATTGCCCCCCATGACCTGCAGACCCCCTTCCTAGGCTTAGGTGGCTATTGCCCCCCATGACCTGCAGACCCCCTTCCTAGGCACCTCACCCTTTAGCCATGGGGTAGGCAACCTCAGTACTTCAGCTGTGGCTAAACTATAAATCCCATCGTCCTTCTGCCTCTGGGTGTCATGCCTGTGGCTGTCAGTCTTGCAATGCATCATGGGACTTGTAGTTCCACAATAGCTGGAGTGCCGAGGTTGCCCACCCCTGCCTTAGGGTCACTGGACCTAGTCCCTTCCCCCATAGTGCCGGCACAGAATGGTGACAACGGGTCGCCTGCACAGCCCGGGGGGATCAGAGGAACCAGGGAATGGATTTGCTGGTTGGTGGGACTCTCCGGCACTGGAGTACCCACATGCCGGAATATGCTGCCCCTCCCCCCACCATGGCAAACTGCACAGAACATACAAAAATGACATTTAATACATGTATGATGCGGAGGACGTGATCTTCACTCCATACATGTTCATCAGATACGCTCCCTGCTTCATAGTGCTGCACGGGGATTGCGCAATCCCTTTAAAGAGACCCTGTCACCAAAATCCCAGAAAAGTTACGTGTAGTCAATGATGACTTGCAGGGTCCGTCCTTTCTATCAGTGATTGATTATTGACTCGGAACCTGCTAGAAATCTGACTGCTTCAGGAAGAGTCAATTCTCAAGCCCTTCCCCCTTCTATGTCACAGACCTCTAATTACTGTCTGTGCTGGCCCAGCTTCCTCACCTCCCCTCACCTCCCTACATAACCTTTTATGTAGGTGGAGGGAAAAGGGATGCACTCCAGCCGTGCTGAAACTACAAAATCCCATCATGCATCTGCGGCTGGGAGTCATGCCTGTGGCTGCCATATTCTTGCAATGCACCATGGGACTTGTAGTTGCAGCACAGCCGGAGTTTGCTTGCCCTTGCTATAGAGTGTGACTTGAGTGACAGCACTGAGTCTGATGACATCACATCCAAGATGGCGGCACGCAGCAGCAGTCTCGAGGCTTGTGGATATCTACACAATGGAGGCCATTACAGGTAAATAACATACATGAAATGTTCATAGCATCTCCCCCCCCCCTCCCAAAAATGTATATCTGCAGCGTGAGATCTAAGGCACTACTGCCTCTGGCTGCTGTCTCAGGAGACTTGGTGATGTCACTACTGTGCTGCTCACTTGTGCTCCTTGCTGGAGGCTCTGACAGGAAGCAAAGCCCCGCCTCTACCAAGATGGCCGCCTCCACACAGTGCAGAACAAGGCATGGGGAGCCTGTAATAGGGAACAGCTCAGCTGCGGGGAGATCACAGGCAATACTGGTCACCGGGCCTTTGCCCCCATCTGCCCTTTTTTGGGGGGCAAAGTTCAGTTCCTCTTTACGCCAACTGATCCCAAAAATCTGCCCTTCATGCCAGTCATGGCACCGCCCTTCTGGCCGATGTCACCGCCTACAATGCAGGACCGGCAGCTGCCGCCGATAGACTAAACAGAGATCGAATTAATGAAATACAATATAAATTGTGATTATTTCCGGTATTTATATAGAGCCGGCAACATACTCCGAGCTGTACACAGCGCACACTGACACCAGTCCCCGCCCTCAAGGAGCTCACAATCTCAGGTCGTCATGGATACACATACAGGAGCCAATTAATGTACCAGCATGTCTATGGAGTGTGGGAGGAAACCGGAGTACCCGGAGCAAACCCACCCAATCACAGGGGGAACATGCAAATCACTAGTCATCAATCACCGTCATTTAAAAGACATGCTTCTAGAAAATTCACCTGCAGTGAATCTTTTCTGAATGTCAGATTCACTGCTTTAAAAAAATACCCCATTAGGTCTAATCACTAGGTGGCGCTGTAGGTGAAATATCACTCTATTGTAATACCACAGCTGGTCACTAGGTGGCACTGTAGGTGAAATATCACTATATTGTAATACCACAGCTGGACACTAGGTGGCGCTTTATGTGAAATATCACTATATTGTAATACCACAGCTGGACACTAGGTGGCGCTGTAGGTAAAAATATTACTGTATTGGAATACCACAGCTGGTCACTAGGTGGCGCTGTAGGTAAAATATTACTGTATTGTAATACCACAGCTGGTCACTAGGTGGCGCTGTATGTGAAACATTACTGTATTGTAATACCACAGCTGGACACTAGGTGGCGCTGTAGGTGAAATATCACTATATTGTAATACCACAGCTGGTCACTAGGTGGCGCTGTAGGTAAAATATTACTGTATTGTAATACCACAGCTGGTCACTAGGTGGCGCTGTAGGTGAAATATCACTATATTGTAATACCACAGCTGGTCATTAGGTGGCACTGTAGGTGAAACATTACTGTATTGTAATACCACAGCTGGTCATTAGGTTGCACTGTAGGTAACATATTACTGTATTGTAATACCACAGCTGGTCAGTAGGTGGCGGTGTAGGTGAAATATTACTATATTGTAATACCAGAGCTAGTCACTAGGTGGCGCTGTAGGTGAAATATCATTCTATTGTAATACCACAGCTGGTTAGTAGGTGGCACTGTAGGTGAAACATTACTGTATTGTAATACCACAGCTGGTCATTAGGTGGCACTGTAGGTAACATATTACTGTATTGTAATACCACAGCTGGTCAGTAGGTGGCGGTGTAGGTGAAATATTACTATATTGTAATACCAGAGCTAGTCACTAGGTGGCGCTGTAGGTGAAATATCACTCTATTGTAATACCACAGCTGGTCATTAGGTGGCGCTGTAAGTAAAAAAAATTCAACAGCAGCTTCCAGACCAGGTAAAATCCAGGCTATGAGCGGAGTGGCCGGACGTCAGAAGCAAACTTCAAGTAGTGCTTAAAAAACCACTTTAGGTCCGATTTCCAAAGGTTCTTATAGGGCAGTTTGCTGTCACAGGCTGATCCAATGCAACTGTTGATGTGGCTTTTCTACGCCGCTTTATTATTATATTGCAATGCCGTAGTTAGTCACTAGGTGGCGCTGTAGATTGTTATTATATTGCAATGTCGTAGTTAGTCACTAGGTGGCGGTGCAGCTACAAATTTCTACTGCAGCTCCAAGGCCAGGTCCAATCCAGGCTAGCTTATTAATATTCAGGATTTGGAGGTTTCTCCTCTATAAAGCGTTATGCTGCATCACCCTCGGCATGCGAGCCCGTCACCGACCTAAAAACTGCAGGTAAAAGCACGGAGAAATCAAGTGTCCTGGGACTGACTGTGCTGGCCCAGCCCCTCCCCTAACCTTTGTTGTAGTTGCCAGGGAAGGAGTGTAGAAGAATACCATAGAGTGTCACTTGAGTCGGCTGGTACACATCCAAGATGGTGTCACCCATGTCCCATGGCACGGGGCTTTCTCGGGTATAAAACATGCATATAATATGAAATGCTCATATGACCCGATGGGACGGTTCTTGTAGCGATCGGTCGGGTGACAGGGTCTCTTTAGGTGAACAGTGAGAAGCCGTGTGCAGAGGAGCCATAAGAGAACAAGGCATGCTGGGACTTGTAGTCTGTAGACATCCGAAGCCAGATCAGGACACCGATGAAGGCTTTGAGACATTGTCCATGAGCTCCTCCACCGTGAACCTCCGAAAGGCGATCTTCTCGCATGCGTCCGCGCCGCACTCGAAGAGACATCCGAACGCATGCGCGCCCTGGCAGACAGCCAGGTCGGAGTATGCGCTGGGGCCTTGGTTGATGATCCACGGTTGGGTCCACCCGGAGGGGAGCAGCGGGGACTTGTTTAGGTAGATCCCCAGGTCCACCCTCTTGTGGTTGCTGGTGGGATGGGAGTAGAGGAGCCAGGAGGAAGCCCGGTTCTCAAGGCCGTCCTGGTCATCTGCCGCTTGGTGGATCTCCAGGGGTTGGTAGCTCACCACGCTGCCCTGGCACCCGTGGGGCGGCTCACAAAGGTCCCTGCAGAAATGGGAACTGCTGAACCCGGCGGCCTGGTCGCTGCTCGTGGCCTCCACCCGGAAGTGCTTGCTAGTGCGGGCGCTGCAGTATAAGACGCCGGGGCCGTTGCCGCAGGCCACGTCTGCCACTTCGCACTCGCCGGTCGGCTGTTGCCACACGGTGCTGCCCTTGTGCCAGCTCTTGCCGTGGTCGTCGCTGTAGAAGACGAAGGAGTGGGGCTTGGTCTTCCACGGCACCGGTAGGCCGCAGACACGGGAGTGGACGTAGTAGAGGTAGGCCGGCACTGTCAGCCTTCCGGATGCAGAGCGGATCCCGTGGCCCGGCCCAGCCGCCACGGTGGCGCAGTTCTTCACGTCTCCGGCCAGGACCTCTTCCGTCACATCCACCAGGGAGCTCCAGGACTTGCCGTGGTCGGCGCTGGTGACGTAGCAGATCCGGGCGGCGTTCTTGCCGGTAAATATCTGTCCCATTTCTGAGCAGTCTGTGCGGACGCAGATGAAGAACAGGAAGACGGTGTTGGTGTCGCTGTCGTACAGGGGGCACGGGTTCATGGTGCGGTGGTCCAGCAGCTTGGCGTGTCTCACGGCAATCATGTCTTCCCACTGGAGGAAAAAACAAAAATCATGTATGACACCAACACGTCTTCAAATGTGATCACCGAGAGCAAAATATCCCCAGACTGCAATACCCACACTGATCACCAGGGGGCACTGTGACCGGAATATCACTATACTGGAATACCCACACTGATCACCTGACTGCAATACCACCACTGATCACCTGACTGCAATACCACCACTGATCACCTGACTGCAATACCACCACTGATCACCTGACTGCAATACCACCACTGATCACCTGACTGCAATACCACCACTGATCACCTGACTGCAATACCACCACTGATCACCTGACTGCAATACCACCACTGATCACCTGACTGCAATACCACCACTGATCAC